ACTCTTTAATTGGGACTATCAGTCTCTTGATTTCATCTCAAATTCTTGTTAGCCAAGTTTTCCTAGACTAAGTCTCTCTTTATCAAGTAGAGACCAAGTCAAAAAGGTATGAACTAATATTTGCAACCATTAATTCTACAATAAAAAACAAGAACAAGGCTAAATAATCAACACCCAACCATAAACAAGCCATAAATTAAAACACTCATTAGGTTTACACACTAGGGTTGGGTCACAACCCTAGTTAAAAATCAGCTACTCATAATGGGTAATAAAGAAAATAGAGAAGAAAAGATGACAAAACACATTTGAAAAATTAAAAGACAAAAATCCAATGTTAAATCACTAAAGTAAGCTAAAGTTGCCCAAAGCAGTAAGAAAAAATGGCTACAGGAGTTCCAATATTCAAAACCTTGACCTAATTTTGTGAAACTAGCCTATTTATACAAAGCTGGAAATTTCGAACAAAAATGCCCTTTCGGAGGTTCTGCGGCCGCCCAATTCCATGTGCGGTCCGCGCTTTTCTTCAATCTTGACAGGAGCTGGATCTGCGGCCGTACAATTCTGGAATGCGGCCGCATCTCTTGTGTTCTGCGGTCCGCACAAATCTGGGTGCGGCCGCACAGGGCCCTTCTGCGGACCACACATTTCTGAGTGCGGCCGCATGGCTGATTTTTGTGGCCGCACAATAATTGTTCGGTCCACACTTCCTTAAGGCATGAAATGTTAACTCTCTGAACTTCTGCTCTTGGGTAGCTTCTGCGGCCGCACAATAATTGTGCGGTCCGCATATTGCACTAGGTCGCTGTTGGATTTCCTTCACAATCTGCGGTCGTAGATGGAATTCTGCGGTCCGCACTTGAGCCTTTGTGCTTGATTTTTGTCCTTGAGTTTAGATCATACCTTTTTGAGTAGAACTTCATCTTTGTGGCTCATTTTCCAATACTCCTGCAATTAAGCATATTTCATCAGTTTTCGGAATTACAATTAAACACTTTTGGACTAAAACGAAAGCAAAAAGGCGCTAATAAGTAGTCAAAACCTCCACTTATCATTAGCCTTGGTGCTACTTCATCAAACTGATCCTCCACATGGACTGGTGGTTGAATGTCTTCTACTCTTTGATTCTCCATTCCTGATAGAAGTAATAGGAAGAAGTACTTATTAGTAGATAGTGAAAATAACAACAGAAATAAAAATAAAAATAATAAATTCTCGAATTAGTAAGAAAATATTTAATCTAAAGTAGATGTATGCCAATTCCGGCAACGGCGCCAAAAATTTGACGAGGCGAATGTGTATTGGAATTTCCTGCTCGTACTCTGTCAAATTCTAATATAGTTTAAGATATCGTCCTACAGAGACTGGATAATCTATGCTACATTGTAATATTTTAACTACTATTTGAGAGAATTTAATTGATAAAAAGTGAGTGAGGTTTAAAACATGTTAATTACTTAAACAAAACAAATAACTTTTGGAAGATTTATAATTAAAAAAGAGTTGGGAACTATTGAATTCACTTGATAACATTACTATAATAAAAACTCAATTTCTATATTTATTTTTTTAAATAATAATTGTTATTTCTAATACAATTTTTCTCACTAGGAAATAACCAATTAATAACACTCCGTGAGAATTACGTTAATTAATCAACTTAAGACTAGTGACGTTTAAACTAGAATATTTTTCTTGCTTGAATTGTGCTAAAAGAAAGTAAAAACTTCGTGAGAATATTTTTACTAAGGATCAATAATCTTGCCTACAACCATTCCTCCGTGAGAACTAAAACTGAGGCAAGCAAGATTGCTGACTTGAAATAATAGTTTACTGAAAATTTACTTTCACTCTACTATTTTATTCATCAGTTATTATATATTAATTTTTCTCCGCGAGAATCACAAAATTAATATATAAATAACTTAGAGATAAAATATATAGATGTGATAATAGAGTAATTAAAAACCATCATTTCAGCATAGTATGAAATGTAAATAAAACGTTTCAAGCCAAAAATATATAAAAACTGAGATAGTATTATAAAATATATCAAGATTTATCAACTATCCCAACAAAAAAAGATTACTCCATTATGGAGTAAGAAAAGCTAAAAAAGATATTTAGAAGACTAGAAATATTTAAAAGACTAAAGAAATATTTTTACTACAAAGAAAGAAGACCAAGACTAGTTCTTGTCTTACAAAAGTTTGGATATCCTTATACAAAGAGAGCTTGCTATTTATAGGAAAAGATGAGTAGCTTTTGTCATGTTCCACTTTTGCGATGTGAAATCCATGTATGCGAAGTGACCTTTGTGTACGTAGATTGTATATATAGGAATTTTCAGAAACCACTATTGTTTAGTGGCTATTAACTTCCTATAGCTACCATATACATAATTACTTCCTATAGCTACTATTTAGTTGTTACGGTAGTGTATTCGATGTATTCGCGCTGCTGTATTCATAAATACAGCATCAAAAAGCGCCTAAAAATCAGGGCATTACAGCTGTACGCGCATGTATTCACATGTATTCGCCCTATGTATTCATGAATACAGCAGCAAAAAACGCCTAAAATCAGGGCAGTCCAGGTGTACGCGCATGTATTCACATGTATTCACGCTGTTGTATTCATGAATATAGCAGTAAAAAGCGCCTAAAATCAGGTCAGTCCAGCTGTATGCACATGTATTCACACGTATTTGCGCCATATATTCATGAATACAGTAACGACAATCACCTTAAAAATAGGTATGTTCAGCTATCTAAGAGAGAGAAAAAATATAAATAGTGTATTTCATGCCTCAATGATAGGATATACATTAAATACTTATTTTGCTATAAAATAAAAAAGGTAGCTATAGAAAATAATATTTTAAAATAATTTTGATTTATAATAAATAAGGTGTATACTTTTGCTATAGGAGGTAAATTTTCCTTCTATATATGCAACTATGGCAGTTGTGCTTCACTGTTGACTTCATGAGCTAGTCTTGCAAATGTAGGTTCCATGTATGCATATGTGACCCTTGCAAATATAGATTCCACGCATGCATCTATGACTCTTTTGCTTCCATTCTTGACTTCATGAGTTAGACTTGCAAATGTAGTTTCCATGTATGCAAATGTGACGTTTGCGTATATAGATTCCACATATATATCTATAGCTCTTTTGCTTCCATTCATGACTTCATAGGTTAGACTTGCAAATGTAGGTTCCATGTATGCGAATGTGACCTTGTGTATTAAGATTCCACATATGCAACTATGCTCATTTTCATCTCTAGTTGTCTCTTTCCATAAGCCCATATGTATATTCCACATTTGGGAATATGAAGATGATGTATGCAACTGTGGCTTTGCTTCATTCTCTTGTTTTTTAGCCTCTTTACTTCTTTTTCATAATTTCTTCTTCCTACAAGATTTGTTAGAAAATATGCGAGGATAGAATATTATTATTCATATTTTATTTTAAAAACTTATCTTTTACATATGAAATTACATGAATAATTTATAGAGAAACTTACAGAAACCACTATGTTTTTGTGGTTATTAGCTAGTTGTAGCTACCATTTACTATATTACTTCCTATAGCTATGTTTTCAGATTTTTAGAGTGTATTCGATGTATTTAAGCTACAGTATTCATGAATACAGTAGCATTTCTAGGCGTGAAACAAGGGACTACAGCTAGACAGATTTTTGTATTCGTGTGTATTCGACTGTATTCATGGCTTGAAACATGGGATTACAGCTGGACAGATTATTGTATTCGACTGTATTCACGGCGGAAAACAGGAGATTATACTGTTTTTAAACGAAAAGTGAATCAATTAACATAATAGACTCCTAATATAACTCAACAAACTCAATTATAACACGCAAATTTTGTATTTCCAGTTATAAAAAAGATTCTCAACCTAAAAACACCCCAAAAATATAGCAATCTTCAGCGAAATTATATAATACATCTGAATACATAAATTATATTAATTAAAAAAATATATGAATACATTCATGGAACACAACGAGACAGTGAATACAATGAAATACATGGAATACAGCGAGATACATTAAAATATAATAAAAAAAGGCAATGAATACAATAAAATAGATGGAAATACAGCGAGATACATTGAAATATATTAACAGAAAATTCAAGTTCCTCCGCCCCAAACTCCGTTGTCTTCGTTCCTTTTTTTTTGCAGCTGCTGTTCGTTCCCTTTTCTTGGGGTGGCGACTGAAGGTTGTTAATGGAGTGGGCTGCTATCAGCTTTCTTTTTGAAATTCAAGGATGATGATCCTCTCTTAGGAAGGTGGGCGGATGATCAGGTTTGTAAGGGGTTGAGTGCTGGGCGTTCTTGGAGAAGGAGAATGGGAAGGACGGCTGCTGCTCTCAAGAAGAAGGAGATCTATACTCCATTGAAGAGAATGAGACCGAGATGGGGCTGCTGGTGGGTGAGAGATTGGGGGTGGGAAGCTTTTTTAGGGGTCCTGGCTGAAGCTTTTGGTTAGGGATAGGAGAAATTTTAGTGGAGAGAGAAAAATAATACAAAGCTTATTTTATGGGTTAAGGGTAGGAGGTAAGCATAAATAGATATTTGGTTATAAAAAATCAAAAGGTAATTATGAAATATAATTTTTTTAAAAGAGTATTTATTTAAAATAAATAATATATCAACCTTTGCTATAGGAGGTAACTAATTCTAATTTATATGTATCACAGGCCCAAATGCTTCTCTGGCCGTTCACCACTGGCCACAGCCCATGAAAAATCAAAAATCTAAAAAGATAGTAATTGCAACTCAGTAAAATTCCACCGTCTCAGATATTGCAACTCAGTAAAATTTCAATCATTTGTTCTTATCTTGAAAGCTTTGTTTTCCCGTTTTATTCTTTGTTGAAACCAAGTTGAAATTGTTTGGGGTTGGCTTCTTCGCTGGTGCACCCGTGAATTGGTCAGACTACACTTACTAATTCTAGATAAAGGTCTTAATTTGTACTCTAATTTGCCTTCGATTACATTCCTAGATCAAACAAAAGATCAATTTGGAGAACAGATTCATGTTTGTTGTTAGGCTGCAAAAATAAACTGTTCAAAGCTTCTGCGGATTCGTCAAACCACATCTTTCTTGTCACTTTCCCTAAATCGAAAATATTTATACTTTCCCTTTTTCTTCCTTCCAGTTTCTAAACAGAAGCAAAGACTGTGAAATTATGTTACTACCAAATAATTTTATGATTTTTTTTTTTTACTTTATTTTTGCTAAATAGGCTTCACATGTTAGTAGATTACTACTCAAATGTCTTTATTTTGTCATACACGCTTTGAAATTTTGAAGCCAGTGGCTTTTCTTCTTTCTCTTTGGTCAAATTTGCTTGTTTGAATAAACAAGGTGGGTGAAGAACGCTTAATCAGGAATGGCTCTTTAAAAAAATTATGTACAACAGAAAGAACAAAATCGTCTTCTTTTATTCTTCAATTTGGCATAGGTAGTTCCTTCTTCTTTGCTCCGACTATCGGATGATTGATATAAATACGGAGTATAGCAAACATCTTGAAGTATTGTTGCACTGTTCTTTGTGCATTGCTCTTTCTGTTGATTGAACATGAAATTTATAACATATAAATACTATTGCATTTTGCTTATTTCTGCTAGCAATGTGTTCCTCCCTTCCTCTGCCTATCGAGATGGTTGTACTTTTGTTGTTCGATATGATTACTGTTGTTTCACTAAATATATGTGCTTCATTTTTTATGTGCTTTTGATATGAAAATATTTAGAGTTTACTTTGCACAAAGTGATAGATCAGATATCTGCTTGTTTGATTTTAGAAAATGACGGTCTGTGCATGTTCTATAAGAAATCTAACTGCCAACTATATGTTCTTCTCTTTTCCTCTTTTATTGTATACCCCATTCTTATTGTATATTCTTTCTGACATTTCGTTGTCTATGTAATTCTAGACGTGCTGACTGTCACATACTGCAATACACCAGCCTAAAACTTCTGTAATACACCAGCCAAAACTTCTGCAATACCCCAGCCAAAAATGCTCGAACAGCTTTTGCAGCAAGGCTTTTCTTACTCATACATCCATCTGTTTGCAAGTAATAAACTCAGTATGTGAGCTTCAATATTGCTATATACATGTTTCCTATTTTGTTATTTGAAAAAATATTGAATCATCACTGCAGTTGAAGACCCGTTTCTTCCATTTTTCTTATGGATATTCATAGCTCATAAAATCTCAGCACTTAAACCTCTTTAGAAGAGAGAACAATAGAGAAAGAGAAACGAGCAGAACTTCAAGTCTCTTTCAATCATGGCAAGTTCCTTCCTTGTTACTGTTTTCTGGACGTTCTAAGCTCTCTAAAGGTACTCTTTTTTTTTCTTTTTTTTCATTTGTGAAAAATCCTAATAGTTATTTCATATTGTTATATTCTTTGAAATAAGAAGTAAGAGAAATATTCGAATGTGTTGTTGCTGTTTTCAGGTCTGTACTTTGTGCTTGTGCATGTATTGTATCCAATGTCATGCTTGTGTAAGCAAATGCAGACTATTACCTGTAAAATTGTGAAAGGAATCTATGTAGTATCAAGACAACAAGAAAAAAAAGTATATCTTCTCCGTTAATCCCACTTTTGGAATTCTATTATTAGCGAAATTAGTTTTTAGAGTTGGCTACTTATTACTCTTTCTGTCTAAATTTATGTGATGTTCTTTGACTGAGCACGAAACTTAAGAAAAAAAGAAAGAATTTTCAAACTTTTTGTTCTAATACGAGCTATAGATATTTGTGTGGCTATAAATCATCTTATATGGAAAATGTCATTCTTTTTGGCATAGAGTAAAAGGATATACTATCATATAAATTGGGAGGGAGAGAGAGTATGAATATAGACTTTGCTTTATGGATGCACTGTTTCTTTTATGTTTACATGAAATTGGAAGGGATTTCTCATTTTTTTTGTAGGAAAGGTTGATGCCTGAGGTAGAAAAGATAGGTGCATTTCAAAATGGCCAATGGTAATGCCATCCATAGTTTTTCTACATTCAGCACTGACGGAAGCAAAGAGGGTCTCGCCTACAGAGGGAAATCTTTTCCTTTGCATCTATATGGTATATACTTCCCCACTTTGTCATAGTGTCAATCACTCTACATATAGATTCACCTATTATGTAGGAAATAGTTGATCAACAGAATGCATGTTACTTTTCGTTAATTGTTCGTGGTTTGTCTTTTTCCGCCACTGTTCATACAAGATTTAACACAGACAAAACAGGTATCTGCTCTTTCTCTTTCATTGTTGTCTTTTTTTTCCTTCTCAAAAAAATATTAAATGCTAGGAGTTAAAAACAAGCATAGAAGGCGTAGTTCAAACCTCTGTGCCTTACCATTCAAATGTTAACTGCAGAGACCTAAAGAAATAATAATACAGAAGCTGTTAAAAGATAAACATATCTTTGTGTTGCTAACGACAACTCGAGTAAATTAGTAATCAGACAAAAATTCAATACTGGACTTAGCTCTCCAACTCCTTATTTGAGACTGCATTTTTCGCTATGAATCTGCATATTAACATTAGCCATTCATCTTGGCTTACCACTCTTATTAAATTTTACTGCCTTGAAAAAATTCTGTTTGGTTTTCCCTGTTCTTTTTATCCTTACTAACATGGTATGCTACAGGTTTGGAAAAGTTTACTTGGGGTACATATAGCTAATGCAATCAACTAAAATTTACAACCTGCGGAACTGGCCAGTCAAATTACTTCCTTTTTTTTTTTGTACGAAAGATAAAGATGCAGAACTTCTTTTAACAGTTAAATGCATCTTTATCTTTCATACCAAAAAAAAAAGATTGTGAAGAAAATTGGTTCCATTGGCCTTGGTGCTATCGGATTTGACAGAGCAACGCAATTACTGAAATCGAATTTCCCATTTTTGGATATGATGTAATATGTTGCCTCTTTCATATTCGATGTTGGAAGATGTCACTTGCCCGTGTCATATTAAAGGAAAAGCTTGCATTCTATGTTTCTGACATTTTGTGTTTGTTTGCAGATAGTTGGGCAGAACATTTTCATTCCTAACATCCTTACATGGAGTATGTCTTCTTCTCTTCACTAGCATTCATCCTCGCTACAAATTATCAGCGGCAACCTTAAGAGATAGAGTTGAACACTTGCTTGTCTATACACTACCTTTGTCATTTCCTTGATTTTCGTACATATAAATGTTAGTATTATAAATTTTCTTCAACATAACTACTCCTTATGGATTTCTATATATCCACAAGATTAAATACTCTTCTACATCTTGATTTTGATGTGATATATATATATATATATATATATGCTCCTTTCTATTATGTGTTCATTATTCTTCTATACTTGTTATGAAAATTGTATAAACATTTAGAAGATTGTCTTAGGTAGTTTGACTGAAATTGGCTAATATGATTGGGCTCAGGCATAGCGCGGGCTGACCTACCTAGTAAATGATAGAGAAACTTTCAGAAATCACTATGTTTTAGTGGTTATTAGCTAGTTGTAGCTACCATTTACTATATTACTTCCTATAGCTATGTTTTCAGATTTTTTAGAGTGTATTCGATGTATGGCATGAAATAGGGGATTACAGCTAGACAAATTATTGTATTCGAGTGTATTCAACTGTATTCATGGTGTGAAACATGGGTTACAGCTGGACAGATTATTGTATTTGACTGTATTCACGGCGTGAAATAGTGGATTACACTGTTCTTAAACGGAAAGTGAATCGATTAACATAATAGACTCCTAATATAACTCAACAAACTCAATTATAACACACAAATTTTGTATTTCCAGTTACAGAAAAGATTCTCAACTGAAAAACACCCCAAAAACATAGCAATTTTCAGAGAAATTATATAATACATCTGAATATATAAATTATATTAATTAAAAAAAACATATGAATACATTCATGGAATATAGCGAGACAGTGAATACAATGAAATACATAGAATACATTGAAATACAATGAAAAAAAAGATAATGAATACAATGAAATGCATAGAATACAACGAGATACATTGAAATACAATGAAAAACAAGACAATGAATACAATGAAATACAACGAGATACATTGAAATATATTAATAGAAAATTCAAGTTGCTCAGCCCCCAACTCCGTCGTCTTTGTTCAGGAACAACCCTAATGTCGTCTCGTTGAAGCAGCATCAGTATCCAGTCCTCACTCGCTGTCACCGTTGCCTCCGGTTGCCGACGATTAGCACGTAATTACCGACGAAGTAACGGAGATTTTTGTTGATCCGATATGTTGCGTCAGAGAATGAGATTGGGAGGCTGAGGGCGGCGTTATCAATGAATAACAGCCACGGTCGAAACGGTGACAATTGCTCCAGCGGCTGGCGGAGGAGAAGACATCGGGAAGTAAAGAGAGAGAGAGGGAGAATAGATATGGGGTAGGCCGGTAGGGGATAGGAGAAATTTGAGGGGATATGAGAGAGAAAAATAATACAAAGCTTATTTTATGGCTTAAGGGTAGAAGGTGACCATAAATAGATGTTTGGCTATAAAAAATCAAAAGGTAGCTATGGAATATAATTTTTTAAAAGGGTATTTATTTAAAATAAATAAGGTATCAACCTTTGCTATAGGAGGTATCTAATCCATATTATCAAGTTAAGGGTGTGTTTGGTACGAGGGAAAATGTTCATGGAAAATGAGTGGTTTTATGACTTATTTTTCCTTGTTTAGTTGGTGTGTGAAAAGCTTTTTCCGAAAAATATTTTCTAGTGTTTAGTTAGAGAGTAGAAAATATTTTTTTATGCTACTCTCCTCACTCATCCCCTTCCCCCAAGTCCCCATTTTCCCTGTGCTNTCCCCCCCCCACCCCCCCCCCCCCCCAAATACCAACATTTCAAAGCTCTATTTTTTCAAAAATTTAATAATTCTTCTAAAAATTAACACAAACCCAAATGCACTAATGTGCTGCATTACTTTTTTTATGCAAAAATAACATTGAAATTTGTGCTCCATAACTAAAAAAAAAAAAATACCTTTTTTGGTTCAAAAAGAAAATACTCTTTCTACAACATAAAAATAAAGTACTTATTTTGTTAAAATGAAAGAAAATATTTTTTTTGCATCATGAAAGGAAAAATACTCATTTTGTTGAAATGAAAGAAAATAGTTTTTTTGTTGGAATAAAAGGAAATACTTTTTCTACATCATAAAAAATATTTTTTTTGTTAAAATGAAAGAAAATACTTTTTGCTACATCATTTTGTTGAAAATAAAGAAAATATTTTTTTTACATCAAGATAAGGAAGTACTTTTTTTGTTAAAATAGTAAAAAAATATTTTTTTATATCATAAAAAAATACTCATTTGTTGAAATGAAAAATAAAAAGTACTCTATCGGGGTTGGGGGTTGGGGTGGGTGGGTTGGTTGGTTGGTGGGGTGGGGGTGGGTTGGCGGGGATGAGAAATAGGGTTGGGAATGTTAAAAAAGAGTTTTGGAAAATGTTTTCCTTTCTTTTGATAGGGAAAATATTTTCCTCCAATTGAAGGAAAATGTTTTTCGAAACATTCCAACCAAACATGAAAAAATTAGAAAATTTCGTATCAAACACACCCTAAATATTCAATCAACATACCATAAGAGTGAGTTATATATGTCACAAATAACAATCATGGAAAAATTTGTTAACAAACCTCTCAATGCCAATCAATGCAAGGAATTAAAGCCAACTAAGCAACAACTACTAGCTAGAGTTTTATATATTATCTTATGAAAGAGCATACATAATTGTAAATGAATTAATTATTACACAGAAAGTAAACATCGGAGAAACCATTCCGTACTCAATAAAGATTCTGGAGTAGATGATAAAGATTTTGGAGTAGATGTGTTGTGGACGGCATAATGTGCGCCACATCTTTACAAAATCTTGTTAAGTAGTTGTGCCAAAAAAATATTTTGATATAACCGGCTCTTTCTTAATGATTTTTAAAAATTGATCAAATGATTACATCGAAAAAATAACTATCTTTCTGCTATGGATTTCTAGATCACATCACTGAAGGTAAAATTACTGCTAATGAATGAAAAGAAATTTAGTTGACCAGAATTTTCTGGAGTAAGGTGTAAAAATGATAAAAATTATAAATAAAATCGATAGCGATTTGAATGTAAAGGTAAAACCGTAAATGTATTGAATGTAGTCGAATTATTAATAAAAGAAATAGTTAAGATGCATTGATATAGTATGTTGAATGAATTTCATTTTCGTATACTATGTGCCAAATGGAGCTAAAGTGGCAATGAAGATCGATGAACTTGCAAATTCTAGAGGTGAACCAAGTGGGACTAAGGTGGTATTGGGTACTAGTCAATCTACTATGCATGAAAGGAAGGAAATATTGGCTCGGCAGAATCATAAAGTAAAAGTGACTAATAGAAAGAGATTTCAAAAGGTAATGAAAACCAACAAATGGAAACAACAAACCAGATGGACTGTGAGGAAGAATTCTAACAAATTAGACTCTCAAAATATGGCACATGTTGAAAAAGAGATGTTACCAGGGAAAGTCCTAAACAAGCTCTCACCAGTAATACTATAGTTACCAGCCCCTCTGTTTCTCCGAGTAACTCTTTTCAACAACTAGAACAATTGGCTACATGTGAGGAGGTTGTAGGTGATAGACTTGAGGACAATAATGATGTTGTTGACAATATAAACAAGGATCCTATTGTAAAAGAGGTTGAGAAAAACACCAAGGAACCTATCATTCAAGAACCTTTATATGAATCACCAAAAGTAATTCAAGATATGACTTGTGGGGATCAACGAGTAGCACCCAAAAATCAGCAGGGGTGTCAAAAGGTAAGCTAGAACCTCAGGGCATCAACCTATTTGTGGAACTGAGATGCGAGGAAGCTAATGCTGTCACATTGGGGAACAATCTTAAAGGTGGACAATGTGATCAAAATCAACACGATGAGCTTATCCAAGATTTTGCTCCAAAAACAACTTGGCATGGTCCAGAAGGGGAAGAGGCTATTATAAAAGAGAGATATGAACTAATTATGACAAGAAATTTATCTCCTAGAAGAAGGAAAGAGAAGAAAATTCAGAAACACAAGGAAGTGGCAAAGCCTGGCCCTGGAACTAGAGCCAAGGTGAAAGCAAATCAAACTGACGGAACATCCTCAATTGTTTTTAATGATTAATACAATCATTTGGAACATTAGGGGTGTGAAGTCCAGAGGGGCTTTTGAAAGACTCAAGTGTTTATCTAAATTTCACAAAATTCAATTCATATTTGTACAAGAGCCTTTTGTCGGGGTTAGGAGGATTGATAGATACAAAAGGGAGCTAGGCTTTGAAGGATGTCATGCTAATTGCAATGGTAAGATTTGGTTATTTTGGGCTGCTGGTTTCAATGTATCAGTAGTATATGAAGATGAGCAGCTAATGACAACCAAGATAATCAACGGAAGTACAGATGAAGTTTTATGGTTAACTTTTGTATATGCCAAAACGACTCAACTTTTGAGACTCCCTCTTTGGGATAGTCTTAGACACTGTAGCAGTATGGTTAATGGACCTTGGAGTATTAGTGGAGATTTCAACGTGATCATGAGTCCTGAAGAAAAGAAGGGTGGCACACTACATAAAATGGAGAAAAGTTGGGACTTTATTTCCTGTATGAATGATTGTGGTATGGTGGATGTCGGGTTCACGAGGCTCAGATTCACATGGTGTAACAACAGAGGACCAGTGAATTTGGAAGAGATTGGATAGGGTATTTTTTTAATCATACATGGACTGACAGATTACCTAGAAGAGATATAGAACATTTAGCTAGCACAGGCTCTGACCATACACCCATGCTAGTTAAATGTTATACTTTGGAACAACATGGGATTAAATAGTTCAAGTTTCTTCAGTTTTGGACAGAGCAGCCTACCTTTAGAGCAGTGGTATAAGAAGCGTGGGATTGTGAGGTGGAGGGTTACAGCATGAGAAGATTTCAACTCAAGCTAAAGCATTTAAGCAAAAAACTGAGCCAATGGTCTAAGGAGCAGATTGGCAATGTTTTTGAATTGGTGAAAGAATGGGAGATGAAAATGCAAACTCTAGAGGCAGAATATATTGACAATGACAGGGAGGATTACAGAGCACGGGTTCATCAAGCCCAAGCTGAACATACTAAGTGGTTGAAATATGAAGAATCCATACTCAAGCAGAAGGGTAACATCAGATGGATAAAGGAAGGGGGTGCTAATACAAAATACTT